CTCACGCAACGAATTCGTTTTATTCCGTTTGCCAATTTTTGGCATGCAGCTAAAGGTGCGGCACTCTATGAAATTCGCTCAATTTACCCAGTTGGCTGCAGCTTGTTTTCAACAATTTCCACTTGCCACTTGCCACTTCCCCTGTTTTCATGCCCTCTATTTACCAGTTATATTTCACTTGCTGTTGTTCTTGTTAAGCATTCTATTGTTTGTTTTCATCTTGGCCTTTGTTGTTATTGTGTTTTTGTTTTCAATTTAAGCAGCTTCTGCTTCTGCTCAAATGCCAATGTTTTTATCATCACATGCTCTTGGCCCTGCTAACAACGATTGCCACGTGGCGTATGAGTAATCAGGCAATTTCACAATTTGCAATTCGTTATTGCAGCTGCGCTATTCTCTTTTTTTGTTATATAGTTTATCATAAAAGAAAAAAATAATTTTCCACAAATAATTGCTAAAAAAAATAACAATTCCCTGTTTGATTTCACTTAATGTTAATTCTATCGATTTTTCAAGCTTTTTTCTGTCTTTTGTTGTTTTTTTTTCTATGCCAAAAGCAGTTTAATGAAAGTAAAAGCATTGCAAAAGCCTGACCTGCACTAACATCCAGCTTCTTAGGTACAATAAACAAATTACCAAATAAAGACAGAAACTATTTGCCCAACACTGAAACACAAATACGCTTGATAACAATGGAGATAGCATGAAGTTTGTGTTACTTGGGAAATGTATCGAAATATTAAAAGTGTTAAGTCAGATTAAAACCCAAAATTCTTTGAAGATCTGTGAAGAAGGTATTGTTTTGGAGCCTTGTAACTGGTTTACCAACACTGTCATTAGAGGGCAACATTTTAAAACACTGCAAAGAAAACGTTGCAAATGTGCCTGCTTTTCCTAAATTAAGATGTGTACTGCTTCTCTTTCATGTATTTTAAGATATAACTTTATATATTTACAAATTTGTGTATCTATATTTGATACAAACATATTTAACATATATAAACATATTTAATAAAGAAATCAAAGCTCGCGTAGGCTGCGCCTCCTAATTGAATATCCTTTTGCACTTGGCGAGTAATAAAATCTCTTGAAACCCCTTCACAAGATAACGAAGTTAAGGAAAAAAAACCGCAACGTATTTTAAGCGCCATCGTGTATACTGGTTTTCCGGCAAGGGTCGTGCAATTCGTTGAAGTAATGGTAATCGAGCCATGACAAACAAAAAGTTGCAGCTCGTTAACGTTCAAATTAGGCGACGGCTTTGTAATCGGATCCACATAACATTGCGGGTGTGCCAAAATGTATGCCCAAGTTGTTATGACTGGAGTGCAAGGGTATCAACAAAACAAAAAGAATATAATGTAGACGGCCAGAGAAAGGGTCAGGCGGGCAGACGATGTAAACAGACTTGAGTGCCGGACCAGAACTACTACAGCCTCAGCTGCAGCTGTATGTGCCTCTGTTGCATGTGCCTCTGCTGTGTGTGCGTGCGCGTGTGTGTGTGTGTGTGTGTGTACGAAATACTGTGTCATGGGATATTAGCATGTGCTCGTAAAAAAATACTTTGTGAATATGTCCTGTGTCCCCCGAGCTGCAACGTGAGTAAGCGCCTGTCCGTAAGTGTGTGTCCGTGTGTGTTTGCACAGACTGTCTGCGCATTTCCGGTGAGTGCGTGTGTGTGTGTGTGTGTGTGTGCGTGTGTGTTTACCTAATTACATTCCGGAAATAAAACGTTGACTGATTGCGCCAATAAATGAAAATAATGACGTAGCCATTGACTGCAAACTCGCAAAGCGACGGATGCGGCAAAACTGGCATCAAACTGAACTCAGCCGACAAAGTTTTTATACTCCCTACACCCCGCTCGCAGTCCACATCCCGATGCTATGTTACTTTTGTGCTGCTCTTTGGCTTTCTCTTTCTGTATGAGTGTGTGTGTGTGTTTGTGTGTGTGCCGTTAAAACACAAACTCTTGACGAGTTTATTTCCCCACGCAGTCGCTAACTGATTGTCTGTGATTTTCTTGTTTTTAGATAATGAAAGCACACACACACGCACACACACACGCACACACAACCATACGTACATAATTTTTGTGTGGGCATATAAAAGTAAGAGTTGGCTAAAATGTTGCTTTTTATGTGCCTCCAGCTTGAAATTGTGGTCCATTTATTTCGTGATGGCCAGCAGAAAAAAATTAACGTTGGTCGAAATTGAGCTACTTTTGGTTTAAGGTTTTCGCCCAATCGACTATAAATTATATATTAGCAGCAGCCGGGCGGAGTTTATATTATTCCAAAGGAAATTAAGCGGCGTCGCCCGGTTGAAATACATACACACAAAATTACTTCGTGCGATCGCCCCATTAAAGAATCAAAACAAATATGTTTCCTAATTTTAATTCCTGCCAAAGAATTCGGAAGACAGCATTTCACATATGGAGATGGGGCAGAAAATCCGATCCAGAAACTTTGCCAACTTGTTTGGCTTGTCAGACGCATCTGAAAGTCTGACGCAGAAATGCTTTTAATATTTGAGTTAACACATTGCTGGCCACGTCTTAACGTCGAAAACTGTGTCAATTTTGTTGGCCAATGCAGCTGCAAGCCAAATGCTTGCCAGCTAAACCAAAAAACTATGCTAAACATTTGGCTATTTACCTAAAGCTCCAGACTATGCGTGTTGGCCACAGCTGAATACAAGCTCAGCTGCACGCTGCGGAGCGAAGCGGACGAAATCGGGTGGTACGAACAAAAAAAAAACTGGGCCCTTTACTAATTTCAGCACAATAACCCAAATTAAAGCGGTTTTTGAGTTTTGTTTGCAGACGTCGTAACACGACAAGCGACCGAAGTGCTAAGAAAACACGAGAGAGAGAGAGAGAGAGAGAGCGAGCGAGCGAGAGGACTCTCCAAAATAAGAGACAAGACGAGACTCATTTATAGCAACAACATTGCGCAGAAGCGTGCATGAGAGAGAGAAAGTGAGAGAGTGCGAGAGATTCGTATGTTTTGAGAAATGTTTGCTATAAAAATGTAACAGCTGTTTTTATTGTCCTCGAACGCAGCACCAATTAAGTCCACTCAAGAAAGGAAACAAACTATCCCACAAGTTGTTCACTAGGGACTCAGATGATGAACAAGTTAATAAATAACAAAAATATAATCTGCGAATATTACCATGCATGAGTTTGTATATAGCTTTGAATATGAAAAGAATAAATAAATATATGGAGGAACCCGAAGAGTTAAAATTTAGTCGAAAGATGAAAAATGAAAGTACTTTATTGATAAGATTGATATGTAAGCAGCATAGTTTAACTAACAAACTAATGATATGTGAAGGTTGCTCAATAATTAATCTAAATTGGTTTAATGACTTGAATAGAATACAATGTTAGGTGATAAAAACTATTTAGATGCCCACCTTTGTGTTAGCTATAGTTTAATAGTTTAAAATTCGGACAAAATATGTGATAAAATATTATGCTTTATTTTTTAAAAAATTAATTGAGTTAAGCCAAAGTATATAAATGTAAAGTTATAATTTAAAAGATAATTAATTTCTTTAAAATATCCTGTTAAAGTTGATCAATTATTTTATTTATTTGTTTAATTATTTACTTATTAAAAATGTGTGACAAATAATATATGTTTAATGACGAGTCAGTCCATATGTGAAATGCCCGCGAAATGAGCGCGTTTTTTTATCAGATGCTTGTCAAACTTTTCCTCCGTGGACCAATTTTACGCACTTTGCGCGCAACGAAGTGAAGCTGCCATAAATCGAAAGGCACTGAGAGCGGCATTGGGAGTATTAGAGAGAAAGAGAGAGAGAGAGAGGGAGTTGTAGAGAGCAAGAGAGAGCAGAGCAGAGCGGCAGCAGTGCTGTTAACGTCGCTGCCTTTGCAGACGCCGACTTTTGCATGGCCTTAGTGCTGCTTGCTGCTGCTGCTGCTGCTGCTGCTGCTGTCGCTGCTGCTGCTGCTGTCGCTGCCGGCTGGGTTGTCGCGTCGGTTTCGTGTCCGTGTCCGTGTCCTCGCCAACACCAGTCGCCGTTGCCAGTCGCTTGCGAAAGCGTAAAGTAAACAGACAAGCGTCGTCCGAGCATGCCAAAGCAGCTGCGCGACGAAGTTTGCCAGCGCCGCCAACGACAACCACAGACAACAGACAACGGCAGCAGCAACAATAACAGCAGCAACAACAACATTAGCAACAACGACAAGTCGCACGAGCGAGCAGTAAAAGTTACGCAGCTGCTGGCTGCGACGCGAACAGCGACGCCTTTAATCGGTTATACGCAGGCTGCTTGCCTCTGCCTGGCCGCTTGCTTGCCACATCCTTTGATGCCGCATGCATTCAGTTAATTTCTGACCACAGCGGCAACGCGTTGCGTGCGCTTCGAGTCGCGTTTCCTCCACAGTTTTGCGTTGCGTTGTGTTATGTTGTTGTCTCGACACGAGTCCCAAACTGAACTGAGCCAACAGAGCGTATACGCAATGTGAATTTTTAAAAGGCCAAAACAAAACAGCAGCCGGAAAACTTTTGCGCCCTCCAAAATGTTGAGTGCATTAGTTCAAAGTCAAATATAGGCCTGTAGCGAGGCAAATGTTGCAAGTGGCGTGTGGCAAGTGCCTCGAACGAGGCTAAATATCAAAAAGTGCAAACTAAAACCAACAAAATTAGTTACCAAAAATGAATTGCTTAAGTGTGTGTGCTTCTTAGAGGGCGTGTCAGAAATCAAAAATTTAAACAAAAGCGACAAATTGCGCAATAAACGACTTCATCAATTTGCATCAATCAAATCAAAAATAATATATATATATATGTATATATATATTTGAACTAAACAATTTAACCGAGTGCACAAAACCAAAATTTATTTAAAAATAAAGCATACGCAATGTGTGCACGAAAATGTGTGTGTCTGTGTGTGAAGTGAAATGACAGTGACAGAGAAATTAAATTAAACATTGATAAATTGATTTACGTATGCAAAACAATTGAAAGCAAAGTACATCAAATAAAAAAGAAAGAAAAGTAAAAAAAAAGGGAAAGCAGCAGCAACAATAAGAAGCAGAGGAAAATGCCGGCATCAAGTGGATTATATCGAATCAAGCACGGGCGTGTCCTTGGCAGCGTGCAAAAAACGTCGGCACTTATTTTTATAGCATACATTGCGGCATGCAGCATTTGCGGTAAATATAACACACACCCACACGCACAGCAAAACTGTTGTACATTTGATTGCTCAATAATAAATATACGGGGAAAAAAGAAAATAAAACAATAAAACTGTAAAAGGAAAAGAAAAACAAAAGTAAAAAATTCATTCATTTCATATTCATGGCAATTATGACATATCAAATTTTCATTGCGGTTTCTCGTTTATCTCGAGTGCCAAACGTATACGAGAAATTTAATTTATGCGATATATTCGTAAAAATTGTCAAAAGCCATACACGCACACGCACACACACACACACACACATTGACCCATCATGACAATAATAAATGGCTAATTAATATTGCAAAAAGTCGCACATTTTCAATCAAAAGCCGAACATAAAGAAAACGAACATGTTTGACACCGAGCTGACCATTGCTGCAGCTGAATACTTTTTGAATATTGAAATCAAATGAATAATTTTACAATTTTGACATCCGTACTTCAAATATGTCTTTTAAAATTAATACATTGGTTGCTAATATTTTATTATAATTAAACACATGAGAGTCGACTCTAGCAAATATAGCATATAACTTTACTGAAAACGTTTTTATCTTATCTAAACATTTTGCTTTTCACTATTTAAATTTTTTTTCAACGAAATTTAAACTAATAGTAATCATATTAAGAGCTTTAATGTGCTTTTAACTATTCTGAAATATGTTGAAGAGTTCGCTATGGTGCAGTTATTAAGCCTAATCTATCCGACGAATTTAGGGTGATTTTAAAGCTTTGGTAATATGTCTAAAAACATTAACAGCTGATTAAAGCTAGCTAGCAATTCAAAAAGTGTATTGTCAAGCAAAGCTTCTTTGTTTAATTGCACGCGAAGCTCTTATGTGCTTACCAAGCTTAAGCTGCAGATGCATGGCACTTGCTTTAAAACTATTACCTGTTAAATTAAACTTGAAATATCGAAACTTTTTTGTTTAAATGAACGGGAAACATTTATGCTCTGTCAAAGCTTTAGTAGATGCATGGCACATGCTTTAAAAATGTTCAGCTGAATTAATATTGTAATGCCAAACAAAGCTCCGATATTTTGTTGCATGTGAAGTTTTCGTATGCTTTCAAAGATCTGCAACATACGAATAGAACAAAAAACAGCTCATTAATTAAAGCCAACAGTAGTAAATGGTTCAATGGCTTTTATTTAGTTGCACTCGAAACTTAAATGTGCTTTCAGAGCTTTTGTTTTAATTCTAACTACTGTCAGCCCATTTCCTTGAAATTCTCTTTCTATTCAAACTTTGTAAACACTTTGTAAAACGAATCAAAAAACGATTTGGCCATGTATGTGTGGCTGCACCTGTTTCTTATTGCATACATTTTGATAGGGCGAATCCCTTGAGCGGCTGTCGTCGGCTGAGTGAATGGCAATACGAGCAGATGGTAAATGTGTTTTATTTTATTGGCAATGTCGCTTACTGACAGGTCAGCGATAGCGCGGAAATCGTGCATCACTTGTCAATGCCTGACAGAGCAACAAGAGCAACAAAAGCAACAGTAACAATGACAACAACTGCAAAACGAAAACACGAATGCGAAAACACTTGTCTGCAGGGCAAACTGTATGTCCCACTGCCGTTTGCTGCTGTTGGCAATTTGTCAAGCAATCAACAAAGCCAGAAATTGCCCCCGGTTCGTCGTGAGCATTGTGGATGGCCCAAGGGGTTGGCGGGCAAGCGGGGAAGGGGGTTTGTTGGGGCTATAGCCCCAAGGTGCTGCTGCCGTTTGGAGCTCGGCGCTTGAGCTATGTGAATGTTTGTTGCCAAATCATTGAAACAAATAAAAGCAAAGTTCAAAAGAAAAAACCGATCAAAGAGCACAAGCACACACGCACACACACATGTGTGTATAGAGTGTGTGTGTGTGTTGGTTGTATGCTGTGTTGTGTTGAGTTGTGTTTTCTGTGTGTGTGAGTGTGGCTGCTGGCCCTCAGAATAACTGGAGCACTTGGTGGCAGCGCATCTATAGCGCGCTGCGTGCGTGCCACTGCCCCGCTCCGTCCCGCCTGGCCACGCCTCGTTTCGCCCGGCTGCCCCTTTTGGGGCCACAAAACGGTCTGTGAAATCGTCAAATAAAGCGACCCAGTTGCTGGCCCTGGAGCTGTGCACTTCTGCCACAACTAGAACACATCCATTGTTGCATGTGTTATGCCAACTTATGTAGCCAGCTTTTTGGGTTACACACACAAACACACACTCGCACACACACTCTTCAGCTGTCACTGTCAATGTTGTAATAAAAAAAAAAAATACATGCTCGACAACAACAAAATAAACAAAAGCTTAGTTCTTAAATGAAAACAATTTTAATGCTGTTCTTGCCGCTTTTCTCGTACATTTTTTTTTAGTTTTTTTTTTTTATTTTTTATTATTATTTGGAGCACATTAATATTTAGCCCAGCGACAGGCTCGTATATCAATATTTATGCATGTCAGGAGCACAGGGATTCGAAGGACAGCTAGAAATGCCGAGCATACATTTTCACACACACACAGAAACACATGCACGAAACTGCATTTTATACCGCTCAAATCTGCAGCTCAATGCACGCAAACATTTGCATAATTTAGACAAAAAATAAAATGAACGCAAAAAAAACATTGAAAATATGATATCAGATATGATAATACACAGCCAAAATACCCTTGCGTATGGCTATTGCACTGATTTTTTTATTGAAAAATAACTGCAGCACTTGGAATTTATGTACGCGTGTGTAGAGTGTTTTTGCTTATCGAATAATATTTGTTGAAATCTTTTCATTATGCAACGCTTAGTGGGTAAAGTCTATTAAATAATTATTACTAGGTTAAAATACAGTGTTCTAAGTAGATAAAATGAAGATCTTTAGGAAAAGGAGACACCTGCGAGACCCCAAATGAAAATTGTGTTAGCAAAGTCTTAACAGCCTGTTGACCAGGCTTAAAAACTGATAATAAGTTTTAGATAAAAATACTCTAAAAAGCATAATAAAAAGGATATTTAATATTAAGCGATATATATCTATATTTTATGGCTGGGTTTGACGAGCTTTCCATGTTTTAAGCTTTTCTTTAAAAAACAAATATGATAAACAAATTTGTTTTCATCTTTATTTTTATATATTTGATTGAGCTTAAAATTGGGTAGATTATGAAATGCCAATTTATTCCCAACTGCTCTTTATATTATATTCAATTATATACTAGACTAATTACCAGAAATTGGCTGCAATTCGGTAAATCCATTTTATTGAGCTCAAGTCCATTTACACACAATTTATTCAAGGAAAAGCATTTGCCCAAAAGATGTTTTTGCAGTTTCATATTACAATTCATATTAAACATTATTGTATTTAATTTTATGATGAATGAAGCAAACGTCTACTCATAGCTAACACACCCAAAAAGGGCGTGCCCAACTACGTGACGCCACTTGAAATATTGGCAGCAATTGCAGTCAAAATATTGCCAGCTGTGCAGTCTGACTGCAGATAGCTAAAGGACATGCCTGAGAGCATGAGTGTGTGCATGTGTGTGTAAACTGTCAAAAAATCCTTTGAAATAGAGGGCAGAGTGAAAATATTTAGGGCCTTCTTTTTTCAATACCCGGTGATTAGTTGGCCACATCAAATTAATTGGCATCCACAATAAAAAAAGAGAAAAAGAAATAAAAACTGAAGCCCGTTCGGTTACCTAATTGCCAGGATATTGGCTCCCCGTCGAGTCTTGCGCTGCGTGCGGGGGCGTATACGTAATATGAGCTGCGTATTTCAATTGCGTTCGAATTGATGATTTTAATTGAAAGCGAAACAAGCGAAAAGTAATTGGAAAAGCGTATTCGCTTAATGGCAGCTGCCCGCGTTGATGTTTTCTTGAAACAACAACAAGGGTTGTTGCACGTTGCACGTTGCACGTTCCACGTACTTCAATATTTCTTCATCCCAAGCGTAATAATTTTAAATAAACTCAAGTCGGCCTGTCAGCAGACCCGGTGAAACGGGCAGAGCCTTCGCCCGGGTCAAGGCCTGAAAGGCAAACACACACACACACACAGACACACTTATACATATGCGCGTTGGCAGGCATAATTTAATAGTGCCCATGCACACACGCACACACACGAACATACAGCAAGAAGCAGTTGTGCCTCTGCAAGAGAGCCATAAAGTTCACCTGTTACAAATGCAACGACACGTGGGCGTTGCTGCGGCCATGGCAGCCATAATAATCAGCACAAAAACTAATGGTCGCTCACGCACACACACACACACACACACACAGAACCACGGACTTACATGTGCTGTGCACACATGTGAGTCTTTGGCGCTGAGCCTGCACTTACGCCTGCATTCCGAGTGCAGAAGGGTGGCCGAGGGGCAGGTGCGTTGCCGGGCTCGCTGAATACACGTAAATTCTACATAATTCAAAGGCGGCGCCACCTTTTGGCAATCTCAATACGGATACAGCGAGCAGCGGCAGATGCGAATGTGCGCTGAGATTTGCGGTTGCGATAAAAGGGTATAAAAGCGAGCGAGCATATAAAATTATTTAAATGTTTGTACCAAATATATGTATATACATATATGCATAGATGCCTGAATAGCAACACATGCCAAAAAGCTTCCTTCCACATGCTCTTCAACTGTCACTCGCCAATTTAACATTTATTTTAACCAACTGAACCTAGCATATAGTTAAGTTGCAACTATTACATTTAGTATACAGCTTAACTTATATTTGAAGTAAGCTAAAGTTTTAAAAACTTTGAGTTAATTGGAAATCTAAGCTCGTTATTTAGAAAATAAACAATGCATATAAGCAGACGGTTTATGTTTAAGAATTAAAAACAATTTTCTGTTAATATATATTGATATATTTTGGTTGCGCCTTGACAACCGTCTTCAGTGCAATTATTCTACACCTCTGCGCTTTTTTGAATGGATATCTCTTGATATAAGCCCTACATAGAGCGAACATA